GTAGAGAATTATTTAATTAGAAATAAGGCTTTGAATGGAGAGAAAATAGAAATTCCAGAAGAGCTCTAATAAGCAAAATTATATTAAGAAAATCATTGTAATTAATTAAATTATACAGATGGACAGAAGCTTTTAGAGAGAATGAAAACTTAACATGTTTTAGAGGAATAAGTGAAATATGCTATAGCATAGAAGAAAGAACTGAGACAAAAATTAGTTAGTGAAAGCAATGAAAAAGAAGTAGAGTAATTAGAATAAGAATTATTATAATTGAATTAATTGTTCTCAAAAATTTAATCAAAGAATATGCCTAAGGATTGATGTAAATAATTTTATGATAGTATTCATTAAACACAAATCATTTTCATATAAATTGTATATTAATATATATTATTAATAATTTAATGAAATTTTTAATCATTTCACTTATAATTCTCAAATGTATATCATATAATGATGTTACACTCTTTGAAGTGAATTTAAATGATTTGATAATCAATTTACATTAAAATGAAGCAAAAAGTTTGGATTTAGATTAAGCAAGAAGTGCTATTTTAGAATCTAAAAATAATAATAGTATTGGTTGTGAAATAATTCCTTTACATCTTAAATTAGAGACTTAAGAACTTCGTATAATTCAAGATATAAATTTTCTTGAAACTGATTTAAATAATGAACTTAATTATAGATAGTTTATTTCAATGACTCATATAAATGATGGTATGATAGCAATAACTTCAGATTTAATAGTGTATTTATTGAAATTCAATTATAATTTTTTATCATCACATGATTTTCATGAAATAGGATAATAATTTGCTAAGATTGTATGGAATTTCAATCTTACTAAATTAACTAATGCTATTCATTTTGAATAAGATTTTCCTAAATTATTATATGCTCCATCATCAAATGTGGCATTCTTATTATAAAATGATAGGGCACAATTATTTAGTTTGGCTCAAATAGAATCTTAAGGTAGCTCTTTAAGTGTGTATGAAGTACCAAGTTGGAAAAAAAGAATTTATAGAGGATATACAAAAGAAATTGATGGACTTATTTTTAGTGCAGTTGGTTTAGATGGACTTGATGTATATATAATAGTAGAGAAAGGATTACAATTTATATAAAATATCAAGATTTTTCATGAATACTAATAAATTAATATAATAGATTTTTCAATAATAACAAAGAGTAGTATTGATAGAATTTATTTTGTTTTTATTTTAGATAAGGAGAATGGATTATTTTTAAGTGAAATTTAATATAAAGAGGGAATAATATAATATGAATTTAAATAATGGATAGAACATTAAAATGGAGGAATATCAGTAGATACAAAGAATGGTAAGAATGTATTTTGTGGTTATTAATAATAATCTAAATATTATTTAATAGAATATTATATTAATTTATAAAATGGATATAATTTTATAATAAGAAAAAAGTAAATTGATTCAAGAATTATTGATGTAGATGCAACAGATGAATTTGTGATAGTTTAAGGAATAAATTAGCATACTATAATATTTTGTAATGATTATGATTACTTATCTACTAATGATAAAGATTAGATTTTCAAACATATAGGCCTTAGAGATTTTGAATTTTTCAATCAAAATTATAAATTAGAAGGATTAAATGATATAACAAAAGAATATGAAAATGATGATTTCTTTTTTGGTATTACATCTTAAACAGCCTTTTTGACCCGTTTCCGAGTGTAGCCAATATCAATTCGTTGTTTGTACCATCCATAAAACTGTATTCAGTTAATGATATGATACTTAGCTATTGTTGGAGATTCATTTTACTATAAACTGTAATATAATATGACACATAAAAATTTAACAGGATTCTTGGTTAGATACACATAAAATGTTACTATAAATATAATAGAGACATATATTTATGAAAATGATATAGAGATAATAAATGTATGTTTATTTGCATTTAGTTTTTTGTTATTAATTATATTAGTAAAGACTTTTAGTTGGTTGGATTAAAAAAATAAGATAATAAATAAAATAAATAAATTAATTGAAAATATGAAATTGGATAAAAGTTATAAATAAGATAATGGACCATAAACAGGTAAAATAGATGAAACTTCTGTTTTCTAGATTTAAAATCAATCAATTATACAATAATGAAAAATCAATAACCATACATCTCACTTAATTTATAATTTAAATATGAATTATAATCTGGTTGTATTTTTCTTTCTTGAATAAATGAAAAGTCCACATTATTATTTCCATTCATAATTTTACTTCTATTAAGACACATTTCCATTAAATAATCCAATAATATTAATACTTCATTCTCTTTGCAATTCTATATCATTTATTTAGAAACACTTTAAACTCTTTCTTTAATAATCTTTTCAACTGTAATAAGTTAATTTTAATTTAACTCTACAACATCAATAAAATTTTAAAAATCAGCCAATTATCTTAAACTAGATAATAAACCTATTCTATCAAAATATTATAAAGTATTTGTACAAAGTTCATTAGCTAATTAATATTCATTTTAAATTTAACTTATGAATTTTTAATATTCATTTGATTTCTTTTATGATTCTAATAATTATAAAACTTTTGTTTATAATAATTTGAATGAATTAGCAGTGAATTTAGCTGAAAGTAAACATAATAATTCAAAATATAATTCTTTTCTATAATGTTATGTAATAATTGAAATATGTTAAGTGATTTCAACATTTACAAAATGTGAAAAATTTAAATGCATTCTTTATAAATTGAGTATATTTAATTATGATAATAATTATTAATTAGGTGCTTCATTTATTTAAGGAGGAGATTAAGGAGAATCAAGAATATTATTAGCAAGTTTATTTTTATCAAATTAAATCTTTTATTAAGGTAATTATCTCTTCTATTATTCAAACATAAGAAATAAATCATTCCATTCCATTCTTTTAGATTCTTCTTTCTCTAAAGCTTTTGTTATGAAATTTTTTCCAAATTCTGATAATTAAATATGTGATGGAAATCTTAATGGTTATTTCATTATATTTTAAGTTAAACTTTTCTCATCCATACCTGTCCATGGAGAGTTACCATAAATCATTTCATAATAAATAATACCCAATGACCAAATATCTGATTTTGTTGTATATTTCTCCTTTTTTAATATCTAAGGTGCCATATATAATGGTGAACCTACACATGTTCTTAATAAATCCCCTTTAAAATTATCAACAATTTTAGAGAATCCAAAATCAGCTATTTTAACAATACCTCTATGATTCATTATATTGGCTGGCTTAAGATCACGATGGATTATATTTGCTTTTACCAATTCTTTAAAACCACATGCTAATTAACAGAATATTTAATTAACTTCTGTTTCAGGTATCTTTCTTCCTTTCATTATATTTCTTAAATCTCCATCAGCACAATATTCTGTAACAATATAGATGGAACGATCAGTTGTAAATTTATCTATAAATTTAACAATGTTTGGATGATCCAATTATTTCATGATTTACACCTCGCTATCTATTCTACTTGTTTACTTTATTTACTTAGAGCATCAATTAAATACTAATCTTTATTGATCATTTAACTATCAATCTTCTTTATGGCCACTTCCATATTTGTACTTATTTTATTTCCTCTATAAACCTTTCCAAAAGCCCCTTCTCCCAAAAGATATTTGGAATCGAATTGATAATCTCCCAATCTTCGTATATTTTAATCGAATTACTATTACATATTTGTAATTATATAATCATTTTTACAAGACCTTCAAAGCTTTCTGTATTTCTATATTATTTATTTATCTCAATTCATGTAAACTCAATGGAGCTGATTATTTTAGATTAAGTCCTTTCTGTTCAATTACTTTTTATACATTTGATGTCTTTACTTATCGAGGACGTTCTTATTTAAATGAAATTGATCTCACATTAAGAATGTCAGCCTTAAGATCCATAAGACTTTGATTCTAATGAATATTCTATTATTATAGATTGTAATCCATAGATTAAGTTGTTTCAGATAAAAGATTACCTAAAGGTGAAGATTTTTCCATAAATGACTTCTAATTACGTTCTTTTTATTCTTATTTCTAATTGATTTGAGTTTCTTTTTTTGTAAATAAAGAATCAACAAGATTATTGATTTTGTCAAGTTCTTTATTAATTAATGGTTTAGTTTGGAGAAGACTTGAATCCCAATTCTATGTTTGGATATTGTTTTTCTAATAATAATCTAATGGATTGCGAGTCTCTATGAATTTAACTTAAGATTTTGTTAAATATGAAGAAAACTGATCATATTTAACAAATTAGTTTAGTTCTTGATTTTACATTAATAAAAATAAAATGTTCTAAGCAGAAAAAGGTGCTAATGCAATTCCTGGATACACAGGGTAATATTGTTTTAATTAAATATATTTAGATTCATTCCAAGTTAAGATTATGATTAAGATTTATTACAAATTCAAGGTAACAGAAATCACATTCCAAGTATATTATTGATAATATATTATTCAGATTATGCAGGATTTGTTCCAGGAATAAAGTCAGAAAATCTATTTGGAAAGACTTTTGGTAAAATTACATTACTTTCTACAACTCATGAACATCATAGAGGGTATTAATGTTAATTATTAATTTAAGATCTGATTTACCTGCAGACATTAGATACAAAAGTGAAGTGAAAGAGGCTTATTGTGATCAAAGAGATTAACGTGGAAGAGATATTAATCTCTATGGCAAATTAGACCCAGAAACATCAGTAACTGTTATATATAGTATTTTTTTAGAAAGCACTTGCATATACACTATCAAATTTGACACACTTTGAATAAACTAATACTCTTCCAAAAAGAAGTATATATTTCTTGTAATAAATAAAGGTGATTCCAAAGATAGATAGAGTAATTTAACTTATGAAGAAGCTTTGCAAAAATTAAAATGATTATTAATAATAAATAATAATATTTGTTATGATATTAGATTTGTTTATTCATTTTACTAATTCCATCACACTAATGAATTACTCTAATGTAAGCTATAATTTATATATATATAATATATTACTTTTTTTTCAGAAGCTAATTCATTAAATTGTGTTTCTAAGTCTTCGTTAATTAGATTAAGATATTTTGTAATATTAGCAGCTCTAAGTTCTGCTTTATTGTTACTCAAAAGATTAAAAGTGGTTTCAAGATTTGTTTTAGTTAATAATGATTCTTTAGGAGCAGCAAGTGATAAAAAAGTAAACTATGCCATAAATTCTGATTTTATTTAATGATCAATGAATAATTAATTAATACGAAATTCTAGATCAGTAAATTTAGTATATTTTTAGAACATCTTTATTAATTCTTCTTTAGTTAATTTCATATCTAAATCTAAATCAAATTCTGAAAATAACTTTTATAATTAAATTGCAGTCTCTTATTCTAATTCCTATATCATTATCTCTAATATGGTTTATTATAATTCACAACTCTCCTTCTAATTCATTATATTTGATAATAATCTTTCTTAAATTGAAATTTCTTCTTCTCTGTATTTTTTCATCCATTAATTATCTTTTAATTCTTCATATGTTTTTCTTCTCCTCTTATTCTTTTCACCTATCACTGATTCAATAAAATATCTAAAATCAACTGACCATTTTTTAAGATCTTATTCCACATCAAATTAATAATGCAATATAAATTACTTAACAGCTGGTATATCATTCAATAATTTATGTGGTATTTTATATGGTACATCACCTTTCCCTAAAGAGTATAAAATCATCATCACTGCCCATAAATCTCTATTTGCTGTATATTCATCTTTGTATAAAGCATCAGGAGGAGTGTATAATAAAACATCAAAATCATCTACTTTTTTAACAGATATTGGTTTCAAATCAATTAATTTTATAATTACTTAATCTGATTGAAATTAATATTCCCAACTATGAATGTTTATATTTCCATGAACCATTTATTAAGTTTTTAAATATGCTAAAACTGAAAATAATTGATCAGCAATATTTGCTAATATCTTCTCTGTGATATCTATTGTGTTTGACAATCGAGATAATTTGCATCCATCAAAATATTCATAGATTAATTGATAAGATGTATTATCTTAATGAACTTCTAAGTTTTTTAGTATATTTTAATGATCCTAAAAAATAAAACAATAAAATACTAATTAATTTGATTTCAGCCAATAAATGAATTTAATGCTTTCCTCTTCTGCTTTTGATAATATTTCCAATCTAGCCTTTTTACCAGTTTTATTGTTCTAAACAAATGACAATTCTGACTAAAAATACTTAAGTAATATTGATACATTCATTTGCATTTCTTTATTATGCATAAAAGAGTACTTTTTTGATGCATTAGTACTATAAAATTGTACTCCTTATATAACAGATCCTCTAAGTGGAGAACTGCAATTACTAAGAGATCTTTAGGATAGTGATCTCATAGAAGATGATCTTTGATTTTTTACAGTCGATATTTAGCATTTTTTATTTAGGCCATTAGATTATACTGATTATCTCTAATTTTCATATATGATTCCAGGAGTATGAATACTTCTCTAACTATGTTAACTTGGTTAACTATTTTAGGGTGATTATTCTCTTTTGGATTAATTAAGGTTTTAAGGTTCAGGTGGTGATTCTCGAGATAATTTATTAGGTAGTACAATTTTTAGTTATTATTTTTACTACTATTATTTTTTACCACTTTAAGAATTGCAAATCCCCATTTTAATCAAGATTTGATGTAATAAATAATTGAAGATTTAATTAATTTTGCATAGGTTATATATACTAATAATTATTATGTATTATAGCCAGCATTATTTCCTTATTTAACCTCCCTATTAAAATTAGTAATATTATAAATTTAAGAAAGTAAAGATGAAATAAATAAATTGTATATTTTATTATTTTCTATTACAATAAAAAAAATAAATATTATGATTAATAAAGCTTTCTTAAATAATTTTATATAAAAAAATTTATGATCATCGACTATTAAAAAAACAAATATAATGTAGGAAATCCTTCAACCTTGTTAGATATGAAAAAATATTTATAAAAATAAATACCAAATTTATAAAAAAGAGAATTAATTATTATGGTTACTATGGAGAACAATTAAGTTTTGCTTGAGGAAAAAAATTATGAAAAAATAGTTCAATAATTTAAAAGTAATAAAGATACTAAATTGAAATGTTTTATTCTTTTAAATTATTTAGAGAATTTGAAATTTCAAAGTGATCAAAAATAGGCTCAGATTGAATCTTTTTTAATAAAATAGAATGAATACTTAAAAAATAAATAAGATAGTTCTTAGACCATCTAAATTCAAGAATAGAAAGATTCTTATCAATAGACAAATAAATTAAGTCATATTGAATAATAATAGTAATTGATATAATAAATTAAGCTCTACTCTAGGAACAAATAAATTATGTGATGAATCAATTAATTAAGAAACTATTAAATTAAATAATGAATCAGCTAATGAAACAATAGTTAAATCAGGAACATTTAAAACATTTGATGAATCAATTAATTAAGAAACTATTAAATTAAATAATGAATCAGCTAATGAAACAATAGTTAAATCAGGAATATTTAAAACATTTGATGAATCAATTAATTAAGAAACTATTAAATTAAATAATGAATCAGCTAATGAAACAATAGTTAAATCAGGAACATTTAAAACATTTGATGAATCAATTAATTAAGAAACTATTAAATTAAATAATGAATCAGCTAATGAAACAATAGTTAAATCAGGAATATTTAAAACATTTGATGAATCAATTAATTAAGAAACTATTAAATTAAATAATGAATCAGCTAATGAAACAATAGTTAAATCAGGAACATTTAAAACATTTGATGAATCAATTAATTAAGAAACTATTAAATTAAATAATGAATCAGCTAATGAAACAATAGTTAAATCAGGAATATTTAAAACATTTGATGAATCAATTAATTAAGAAACTATTAAATTAAATAATGAATCAGCTAATGAAACAATAGTTAAATCAGGAACATTTAAAACATTTGATGAATCAATTAATTAAGAAACTATTAAATTAAATAATGAATCAGCTAATGAAACAATAGTTAAATCAGGAATATTTAAAACATTTGATGAATCAATTAATTAAGAAACTATTAAATTAAATAATGAATCAGCTAATGAAACAATAGTTAAATCAGGAACATTTAAAACATTTGATGAATCAATTAATTAAGAAACTATTAAATTAAATAATGAATCAGCTAATGAAACAATAGTTAAATCAGGAATATTTAAAACATTTGATGAATCAATTAATTAAGAAACTATTAAATTAAATAATGAATCAGCTAATGAAACAATAGTTAAATCAGGAACATTTAAAACATTTGATGAATCAATTAATTAAGAAACTATTAAATTAAATAATGAATCAGCTAATGAAACAATAGTTAAATCAGGAATATTTAAAACATTTGATGAATCAATTAATTAAGAAACTATTAAATTAAATAATGAATCAGCTAATGAAACAATAGTTAAATCAGGAACATTTAAAACATTTGATGAATCAATTAATTAAGAAACTATTAAATTAAATAATGAATCAGCTAATGAAACAATAGTTAAATCAGGAATATTTAAAACATTTGATGAATCAATTAATTAAGAAACTATTAAATTAAATAATGAATCAGCTAATGAAACAATAGTTAAATCAGGAACATTTAAAACATTTGATGAATCAATTAATTAAGAAACTATTAAATTAAATAATGAATCAGCTAATGAAACAATAGTTAAATCAGGAATATTTAAAACATTTGATGAATCAATTAATTAAGAAACTATTAAATTAAATAATGAATCAGCTAATGAAACAATAGTTAAATCAGGAACATTTAAAACATTTGATGAATCAATTAATTAAGAAACTATTAAATTAAATAATGAATCAGCTAATGAAACAATAGTTAAATCAGGAATATTTAAAACATTTGATGAATCAATTAATTAAGAAACTATTAAATTAAATAATGAATCAGCTAATGAAACAATAGTTAAATCAGGAACATTTAAAACATTTGATGAATCATTTAATCAATAATCTATTACATTAAATAATGAATCAACTAATCAAACAATATTTCAACCATAAGATGTATAAGTTAATTTAGAATAAAATGAAAAATAAAAGAATTAGAGATTCAAACCTTCAATAGATGATAATGAAAATTAACATAATAATAATTAGAGATCTCAAATGGAAATATAATCTTATATTGATGATAATGAAAATTAAAGAAATGAGAATTAATATAAAGAATCATTAATGTAGACATTTTTACGAAATTGCATTAATTGTAATAAAGGAATTTAAGAAAAGTAATTCATTTTGAGTTGTGATCATGTATATCATGAAAATTGTTTAAAAGAATTATTAAAAAATTAGATCCAATAATTAAATTCAATATTGTATTGTTAAAATAATTGTTTAATAAGACATCCTTAAACAATTCTAAATAGTTTAGATTTAAAAATCTACTTTTTCTAATTTTTAAATAACTAACTTAATTAAATAAAAAAGATAAATAAGGATATTAGAAATTGTCCAAATAAAGGTTGCTCTTTTTTTGTGATAATTAAACATAATTAAATTTGTGAATCATTTTGCCCTTTATGTATAATGCATGTAAAACTAGTATGACAATTTAGGATTGAATATTAAATTAAAAATTATTATAAAATGATTTTATCAGAGAGAGAGTATTTAAATGTGAAAGGAAAATAGTATTAAGGTGTTCATTCAAAACGTATCTGTTCTCCAAATGAGAGTCTAATAAGTATTAATCACAATCCCTCACTTCCTCAATTGAAATTATAAGCAAAACATCTTTTGGCTTAATCAATTCATAAAGATATTTCTGGAGCTCCTCCTTTTAATTAAATACATTTGAAACCATTGATTTGCAAAAATAAATCTTGTATCTATTTAGTTAGAAATTTGGAAGATAAAATAGCTAAATACATAATTAAAATTAAGGAAATTGCAAAAGAGAATAATATACTGAGAAAGAAATTATAAATGGATAGATTAGTTATTGATGGTTTAATACCATCTACACATAGATCTTAATAATCTTCTGATTTTAAATAATTAACAGAAGAAGTTTAATATCCTAGATCTAATTTTATTAGTCTTCATGATGCTCATTCAATAACTAAATTCTCAAATGAAGTTTGTTATGCTAATCTTACATAAAAATGGACATCTGATATTATTAATAATCTAAGTATGTTATTTTAATAACCATTTTCTGATATTAATTGGAATAAAACAACAATAATGAGTATACCATAAATTTAATCAAATTAATGTTTGAAGAGTTGTTAGAATAATGTTCAAACTGATTTTATATAATTGAATTGTAATCATACTTATCATAAGAATTGTTTATGTGAAGAAATTATAAATTAACCAAAATTAAAAGGTTATTTTTGTTAATGCAATTAAGAACTAACTAAATATGATATGGATTAATTTAATGGAGTTTAAAAGGCAATTATTAAAGAAATCAAATTAAATTCTTAGTTATCTTAATTAATAAAGAAATCCAATACTTTCTATAAGTGCCAATAAACTACCTGTTAATTTATCATCATTAATTCAGAATTCGAAAATTTACTTAGTGTTTAATCTTTTTGTTAATCATGTTTAACCATGAGATTATTCTATAAATAAGAATAGATAGAAAAATGATTATTAATTATATATTAATGAGTGTTGTTTAAATTATAGATCAATAAATTTAGATAATAAAAGAGAATACTTTTTATTATTCTAATTTATTTCATTAGAATTCATTAAATAAAATTAATTTCAATTATTAGCTCTATAAAATTGTAAATTATAATTTTAGAAATATTTATAATTATTTAATAATTAATGCAAAGAGATTCATTATTTTATCAAATAATAAAAGTCTAAAAGAATAATCATATATATTAAAGTATTTAATTATAATAATTTTTTAAGACAACATCTTTTAATAGGAATTCTATTTATTTATAAATTATTTATAATAACTATAAAAATGATAAATAATAAATAGTAAAAGTAATAATTACCCATTGTTATCTAAAAATATGAAGATAGTTTAAGAGACAGTAAGTATAAATTAAAATATAGGAAAGCAAAAGGAAGTTATATGTATGATCATTCTTTATCAGTTGAGAGAGAAAACTATTATTAAAGTAAAAATAAAATCTCAATAAGAAGTTCAAGTAACTGTTAATAATAGAAAAATGAAAAAGAAAGATTTTTATGTAGCTTAATTCCATCTCCAAAGAATATTAAGTACTAAAAATCTAAATTCACTTTTAATACTGAAGAAATTAATAAACATAATTAGAAATTAAAGACTGATGTTTAATTGCTCTATTAACTTATAAATCTTGAATAATAAAAACCAAATAAAATTTAAATTCCATAGAAAACTTTATAAAAATCTAAATTAATCGATTCAATTTAAAAAGATAAGAATGGATTTATTTCTAATTCATAAATCATTGAAAATTGTTAAGTTTGCAAGAAATCTCGTAATGATAAAATAGTGTAAACTACATGCGATCACTTTTATCATTATGATTGCTTTTAATAATATTTAGAAATATGTATAAAAAAAGGACATCCATAAATCTATTGTCATTGTAAAACTAAAATACCATAATAAATTATTCTTAATAATACTAATTTATTAATTATCTAAAGATATTTTCATAATTAGTATTAGAAATTATAAATTAAGTATTTTAAATACTATAATTTTTAAAAATGCATAAACTCATTTTGTAATTTTTTTTGGATAAGAACAAATGAAAATAATAAAAGAAAGACTTCCATTTTTTCATATTGTCCTAATTGTTTAAATAAAAACTTTGAGATAGGATTATAAATGGAATAAATTTTTTATAAATTTTGATTTTTTTAAATATTTATCATATTATAATTTAATTATCTTATTCTAAAAATTAATACTCAATAAACAGTCTTTTGAATTACGCATCTTGAATTTTTGATTAACTAAATTGTAATTATTATTTACATTTAATTCGATATCTCAAAAATATTTCTCATTCATACAACACTTAGATTATAACTGAAAATAATAATTCAAATTCTATTATGATACTCTTTAACATTACCTTAGTAATTCTTAAAAAATATATATCTGACATTTATATATTCACCTTACCATTAAGATCTAAATTTCAAATAGAACTTAATCTTAATTATAAGCTAATTTCTCTTAAACAATCTCCTTTCCTTAATTTTATTAAAGAAATTATTTTTATCAAGATTTTAATAAATAGTAAAAAAATATAAGGATAAAATAAAAAGCTTGAAAATTTAATGAATATTAGAATATATTAAAATAATGAAGATATCATATTATGATCAGAATAATAACTTCTTGAATTTGATTAATCCTTAAAGTAGAACTCATTTCTTTATTATTATATTAATCTAAAATTTGCTTTTGATGTAAGCATTAGAATCATTATTAATATATAATAAATTGTTATTTGATTTCAAATATCAAAAATTGTCGTTAGTATAATAGGAGATCAATAAAGTTAGATAATAGTGATATAGATTACAATAAATTACTGATTGAACTTAATGATATTAAAAACATTAATTTATGATTGTAATCCAGTATAAAATTGAATAATAAAATAGTACTTATATAAGATTATGTTAAATGAATATCTAAATTTCATATCTGTATGTTACCTATCTAAGAGATATAAATTTATTTTTCTAAACTGTAAGTTTTGAGCATAATAATTCTAACTAATAGGGTAGAAATATTTAGATTACATAACTACTTAAATTTGTATATAAAATCGAATAAACTTCATAACATTATTTAATTAATGGGATATTGGTTAGATAGAATAATAGTTTACTTTTTTAAATATGAATATTATATTGAGATGTTATATTCATATTATAAATAAATATCAAAATTGATGGTCATTTTGTTATATTTTATTCATTATTGGATATTTATCCTCCAGTCATAATTGGATGTACTTCATCATATTAGAAAGATATCTTTTCTCTTTAGTTATGTAAAAGTAACAATTTAGTATCTCTTGAACTCTAAGGTTAATCACTTGATTATTTGCCTAACTAAGAAATGACAAAATCTGCCACCTCCTTCATTATATCATTTGGTCTTTTTGAATTATGTTGACCATCAAATGATTTTAATAATTTAGTTCCTTTGAAAACACAATGTAAATATTTTGAATGTTTTGAGTTTACTAATTGATCTTGATTTGCACTCAAAAATGCTATAGAAATTTAGGATGAAAGATCTAATATTTTGTCATTAATAAGATTACTTCCAACTATTTAGATAATATTAAGATCATCTACATTAAAATTAGCTTCTTTTCTAATTTTAGATTTTACAAAACAAAAGAAACAATTAAAACAACATCCAGGTACTCCATAACCAGATGTTGCAATTTCTTTACATAAGAGTGTCAAATTAGAAAATGGACTATCACAAACCAATACTTTAATATCTTCATTTTGACTGGCACTAAGAATGGCTGTAACTGAACCCATAGATCTTCCCCATAATCCAATTTAAGTAATGTAAGGCTCTATTATTAAAGTTACATGTTACTTTATGATCTCTTAGATAATCAATGAGACTTTGTACATCTTATGATTCATAATAACCAAGAGAAATGTAAACACCTTCAGAATGTCCAGAACCTGGATAAATAAGTGATGGCTTACCTGATAAATCAATTCCACAAACAGCAATGTTATAAGGGATCAAATATTCTAATATTGTTAATGATTCAACTCGGCTGCTAGAGTTTCCATGTAAATAAATCATACAAGAGTGTTACCGATCTTGAACTCTTACTGGTTCAAATAGACTGGTTATATTGGTTTAGTGTACCTACATTATAATGTAAGTTTTCTTTTATTAACAATTTCAAAATCTGTTCTTTTTGTAACTGTATCAATAACCATGGTGATCTAATTTCCTAAATCTTTTAATTAATAATAGTGTCTTGGAGGTCTAATGATTGGTTTCCATAATTTTTCAGTACAAGACTATGACATTAATATTATATATATATATAATAGTATTAAATTATACAATCATGAATGTTAAATATATAATAAAATTATTGTTCTAATAGTCAATATCTAATTTAATCATTTATAAATAATCATTTTTTTGATAACATATAATTTGAATACTCATCTTTTACACTATTAAATGTAGTTTATATATTTGTAAATATTTTAGCTGCTGAATATTAATTAAACTTTGAAATTTGTATTTTTATTTGTTCTACTATCTATTAATACGATTACTAAGTGTAATATTAACCATTTGCATCAGTTCCTAAGAAACTCATATATACTTTAGGATCAAAAGCACCCCCATTACATGAAATAACAAAATCATTATTTTCTGAAATATTTGATCCTGTAGTTGCAGAAATTGTGTTCTCTTTACATAACCACCATCAAAACATACATGATTCAAAGATAAGAATACATCAATAAAACTGCCTATAACTATGGATTAAATTGGAAATGCTCCACCAGGTTATGAATATGGAGTACCATAAACATGAGATATAATATCAGAAATTAGCCCATAAACTATATTATTTTTTATAAAGAGTTTGATATGCTACAGATACTAATTGTGCAGTTTATTAGTCAACTATTAATTAATAAACTCATCTGTATTTTTGATTATCAGTTGTTTGAAAGAATAAACAGATTACTATATTATCACCCTAAATTAAATTTTAGATTATACATTTTTATATCCAGAACTGAAATCTGAAGTTTGGCATACTTGAGTTTGTGAAAAATACTATTGGATATAATATAAATAATAACATATTAATTAATATATATAATATAAGTACTTATATTGATTGACTGATACAATTTATGTATAAAAATATGTTAATGAGAACTATATGTTTTATATTTTAGTTATTCATATTCTTTGAATACTCATATATTAATAAAATTTAATTCATTTAATCATCTCATAAGCATACTATTCCAAAATAGCTTATTTTAGAACTCTATGTATTAAATTTATGTTTATTCTATTATTCTTGATCTAACTGCTTATTTTGCTAAATTAACGTAATTATTTATATATTCAATAATAATTAACTTTGAATACTTTATTAATTCATTTATGATGATTCTAACAGTATTGCTTGGGTTGTTTTAAGAAACTCAAAGCATCAAATATCAAGTTCAAAGACATTTAACTATTATGGATCCCATTCATGATATTCATCAAGTAGAATACAGAGTTCAAATGCAATTTGGATCTTTGAAATAACCGATGGAGTTGATTATTGATACTGGGTCTTCTGATTTATGGGTCCCATCAATAGATGCAAAAGGATTCCTTAATAATGGTAATAATAATAGAATCTAAAAGTAGTCAATCGATATGATTGTAAAGCAAGTTCAACTTGTATTAATACTGATTCTCATTACTCAATTTTCTATGATGATGGTCCAATTTCAGGTACATTAGCTTGGGATTAAGTTTGGATGCATAATATCAAATTTAATTAGTCCTTTCTATTGATTGAAAGAGCAAGTGGAAATATGGCATCTAGTGGTGGTATTTTAGGACTTGGATTCCATTCAAATGCTGCTAATCAAAACCCATCTATCCTAGAATCCCTTTACTAATAAAAACTTATATCTAAAAAATACTTCTCATTGTATTTAAAAGATGAAGGTGAATTTGGTAGCTATATTCTCTTTGGAGGAATTGATATGCAATTTGTATAAAAGGATTAAAAGATATCTTATGTGCCTTTAAAATCTGATAATTAATATCTTATAGGAATAGAAGGAATGTCAATTGATGATGAATTGTTTTCTATAACAACAGCTCTTGTTGACAGTGGAACTAGTTGTCTTACTGTTCCTGCAGTTGCAATGGATGATATGTTGTAAGTTTTTGCAGCAAAAGGAGTAGAATGTTCATACAGAGTTGAAAATTATGCACCATCATATTGCACTGTACATTGTTTTGTAAATGCTACAAATGAATAAGGAATTATAGATTCATTTCCTATTATAAAAATAAGAGTAAATAGTTCCTTAGAATTACTCTTGAATCCATAAGACTATCTTTATTGTATAAAATTTAATTTATATCTTAATAGCTTGTACAATATTAGATGGCAGTTAATCTAAATGTAATACAAAATTAGAAAGATCATAGATAGATGACTTTTTATTATTAGGTGATGCTTTTTTACATAGTTATTATACTGTGTTTGATCAAACTGATAAGTAAATTGGATTTGCACATTCAATAAATAATAAGGGTTTAAAACTACATGTTAAAACAAGACACTTAGTTAGTTATGCTCATATGCTTATTTTATATATAGGATTGTTATTAGTTATTTGATTATTTACAAATTTAAGTATATTAAAAAATATATATTGATATATAAATATATAAAAATAATGGACGGATCAAATCTCACTTCAGATGGATAAAAAGAACTTTAAAGTTTTTTGAATTTTTTCAATCTCAAGAAATAAGAATCTATGAGAGAAATAGAATTAGAATTTAAGGATTTTTCAAAATTTTAAGTGCAAGACACTTTATATAATAAAGATGATGTTTTAGAACTTCTTAAGAAATTATAGAGTAGTTTAGAAGTACTAATGAATAAAGAAGTGTCTAAAATAATATATATGTGTGGAGTTTATGTTAAAATATTTTTATCTGTATGTTCTGATCAAGATTTTCATGCAGATTTTAATTTCATAGAGAATGTGTATTTAACATTCTAATTATAGTAAAATTATCGAATAGATGAAAATACTAGAGAAAGGAGGTACCATTGTTGAAGATAAACCACTTTAGAGTAAAATTAGATATTCTAGATTGCCAACAATTGATACTGTTTTATAAAGTAAGATAATCATCTTATTTAATAAGAATAAATGGAGGAAATGTCAAAAGAGAATGATTTCTTAAAATAGTATAATCAAAAATTATAGAATGAATTGGTTTTACTTAAAAAAGAATAGGTTTTAGATGCAGATTAAGTAGGTACATATCAAGATTAAATAAATTAATTAAAATATGAGAATGAATAATTGAAATAAGAAATGGAAAAGAAATTAAACGATTGTGTACAATTCAAAACTCTTAAATAGATGATATAAGAAAAGAATCAACAAATTAAAGAATTATAAATGAAGTTATAATGATAATCATTCTATTGTGTTAAAATTTTAAGAAATAGTATTCCAATTATTTTGAATAAATTCTTTAATATTATTAATTGAAATTCTCCAACTTTTATTTCACAATTCTTTAATAAAAACATTTTACTCATAATTCTAAAGAAGAGTTTTGTATTTAATCTATTAACATATTTGTACATTTCTATTTTTATTGGATGTATTTGATGTTTAATTTGCTGTTGTTTAATAACATTAATTATATATTAATCTTAGATGTTCTTATAAATTTGTAATAAATATCCTTCTTGAATTTTTTACATTTCCAAGTAGATCTAATCTTTAAAATAGGCCATCCACTTGATAAAATGACATTTATTATTAGTGAATACTAAAATTATATTGATATTGAGTTTAAGAAGTTAATTATAATGCACATCTCGAAAATATTAAGTCTTCAGTAATGTATTAGATTGGAATCTTGAATACCTCATGTATCTAGTTCAAATGAATGGTCTAATTGTAGATCTTACTTATTTGATTACGGATATAGGCATCTATACGGTATGTCCTCATTTCTTTGACATTTTTACATATCCTAGATATATAATAACTGATGTTATTGTGATTATATTGAAGATTCTGAATCTGATTTTTGATGGTTTTTGTTATTGCAATAACTATTTGATTTCTTTTGGTAGTACTCAATGAATTATTAAGACTAGAATATCTTATTCTTACAGCTTTATTCATATTTTAAATACAATATTATAAAAATCATTTAAGTGATTTCTTTTTGTTGAGAAGAGTACATTTTATTTTATTTTTATGATATTATAATTATCTATGACTTAAAACATCAGACCATCTCTTATAGAAATCATTCCTATCATCAGGAGAGTACTCTGTGCATAAAGTAAGTTGTTTTTTGTGACCTTTCTTTTTTACATCCTAAAGAGTATGATAAGTATGATAAGTTCTCTTTGTAGCTTAAGTAGTAGCAGTATTAATATTATCAATTTTTAATAATCTCTTCAATTGAGGAGATTGTAACATTTACTATTTTTATTTTTATATCAAAGTAGCAATTCCACTTTTATCATAAACAATAGGTTTAATCTATTTAACTAATTATTGCAACTGTCTTGTAGTCTATAATTCACTAAGTCCTTTTAAAGCTTTAAATGAATATATCATATTATCTCTTGTTGTGTCTTAAACATGCATCCCTAATTATTTTTTTATTTTCTTGTATCTGATCTCTCTCTACTTTTCATGATAAGCTTCTAATTAAGAAGTAATATTCTTTATGAAAATACGCGGTATGTCTCTATGATATCTATAATATTCAATCAACTGCTTTTAATTATCTTTCAAATATGGAAATGTGTAATAACTATACTAAATAACTAGAGCTTATACAATTTGAAATACTCTTCCAACTCTTCAAAACATGCCTAATCTTAGAAACGAATTGTAGTTGGACTTCGTAATTATAGTTAACAAAAATCAGTCTGATACCTTGAATAAAGAGCCTTGAATGTTTTTGATGTTTACCATATTCAATAATTCTGGCAGACTCCCTTTATGATCACAGAACATACATGGCAATTACATTATTATTAATTTAATATCAAAATATTTATCGTTATACATAATCTACATACAGCCAAGAGATTTACTAATGTTTCCAAAAAACTCAATTCTCAGAGAGTTTTTGCTTAACAAATAAATTCTTTTGTGAAATCTATTAAAAATATTGGAGTTTAAATCATTGCTTTTTTAATAATGAAACTCTCACATAAAAGATTTTCACATAAGGAAAGAGCTTTACTTATATTTACTAAAAGTAACTCTTAATTATAACTCTGATAAAGAATATTTATTTATATATATTCCAAAATTTTTGTTAGTTATATTAGACATTATTACTATTAATTAACTTCAGATTTTTGTAAATTAATATATTATTCAAATAAGTTATGATATAGATATATTATTAACATCTTAGATATCTTTGAATTATTAGTAATAGTTTGTAGATTCATAATAAAATTAATAATAAAGATTCAAATAATAAAATAATTTAAGAATGATAATATTATAAAGAAGACTTATTAATTATAATAATATTTGATATATTTTGTGCTTTTTTATTAATCATTTGAAGCTTCTATTATTTTAATGATTATTATATTATCTGAGCTATTCTGATGTATACAATGCTTAATTTTATCTATCAAGTCTTCTAAATATCATTTAGGCTCTTCTATCAGAATCAGGACATGATTCCTTCCATATTTGATGTTCTCTTCCACAAAGTTTACGATTGACTGCATTAATAATTAAATTACCATTAGTTGAATTCTCTCTATCCAAACATTCAAAATAATCCTCTTAAGCAGTAAAACATGTTTGGGAATTCCAAGATTCTCCACCATATCTTGATGGTGTTAATAGTGCATTTCCATTATAACTCATGATGTTTTAATAATAATAAATATAAATTAATTATAGTTTTTGCTCAGCAAATCAAATTTTTTTACTCAAAATGATTCTCTTAATTAACATATAATATGGATTATGTTTTTGATTGAGTTTCTGCAAGATGGAAACATACTCTACATGCAGGTTTATAACAATCTTCACCACCAATTAATTCAACTAAAATTTTATTTATTTTAATTACTCTCTTATGATTATACTATTCTTTTAGTAAAAGAGGCATTTTCTCTTTTACAAAACCAACACACAGCTGTTAGTTTTGTTATGCGTTCAGCTAAAGGAATCAAATTTAAGATGTTATGAAAAGGTTTTCTATCAAAGGTTCCATCAAGAGCTGCAACTATTACAATCTTTCCTAAATTAGCCATCTTCTCACTAAATTCTACAATCTATACAAATTGTAATTAAATATACATCTGAAAAGAATTAACCTTCATCAATAGCCACTACATCACTCTCTTTGCATTTCTCATAAGCCTCATTTAATTTGCATACTTTTATGGCTTTCAAATATTGTCTTAATTTTTAAATGAACAATATACTTATCATGACTTGAAATACATTATTCTTCTGAATATCTATTATCATTTGCATAATTCAAAACTACACATTTTCTCTCTGAAATAGTAAATCTCTTGACCAATCTCATAAGCTCACTAGTTTTCCCAGAAAACTGACATATATTCATAATTATACCATTGGACCATAAATTACTGAGATTGTGCCTGTATACATACTAATTTATCAATTAAATTAATGCTCTTATAAAATAAATAATCTAAAGAAATACCTTTCCCGCTTCTTTGAAAATTAAATTATAACCAAAACCATATAAATTATTAAAATTTAAAGTATAATACATTTTCAAACATTTTGATATCATTATCTACCATAATTATATTTTAATTAATTCTAAACATCAACTATTCAATTATTATTTATGAATTTTCTATTCTTTAGATATCTATCTGAATTATTCAATTATGATTAATTTTTCAAATCAAATTAGTATTATTCAATATACCTTTGAGATATAATATATAGAATCATAACTAATTAATTAAAATGATTATTTTAATTTTCATTACTTTTATTGCTAATTATAATTGTCAAGCAATTGGATCAGATCCATGTTCATTTTTTAGTGAAATTCCATGTATTGAATCAGGATATTGTTATTGGGATAGCACTTAATGCAATCCATAATTGTGTCATTTGGTAACTCAATAGGCAGCTTGCAGGTCTGGTGGGGCTTTGGAATTAGACTGTTTACCAGTTTATTATACTCCTCCTCAATTTGTAGCATCTTGTTATAGTAATGCCTATACTGCATAGAAGATATATTTCTATAGATTTTTATCAGACTTATCAATAGAAGATATAATGCAAACTTCAACATATATAATTGAACTTAGTAATTCATTACCTAGTGTGGAAGCAATGGATAAGTTATATTAACTTGATTTTTTATCTAGTTCTAATGTTCAATTGAATTCTATTATTGATTTATATCTCAATCAAGCATCAGTCTTAATAGGATAGTATTCTCATCCATATTATTTGGAGAGAGCAATTTATGAGAGTTTATAAAATATTAGAGATGATATTCTTTTACCTTTTCTTGAAAGAAGTGCTACAATATTCAAGATATTAGAACTGATAGATATTTATTATTAGAGATTAAGTACTTATTCAGAAAAATACTATACTGTTTATAATTTTGTGAATTTTAATCATATTCATTTTAAATATTTGGGATTTGCATTTCAATAATAAGCTGAATTTTCATGGAATACATATCCAGAAAATGGATTTTTTTAATTAACAGTAATATACCCATAAATATTTGGTATTTAATCTGCTGTTAGTCCTATATTCATGATAAGAATATCTAATTAAATTAATTTAAAATATACTATAAAATGGGCAATCACTACTACATACACAGTTCAATTAAAAAAGATTGATTTAGTAAAAATGACATTATATGATGCTGAATATTTGTCTATTTGTACTAATGGATACTGCACAGTTGATATAAATGGATCAGGTAATTATTTATTCGTTGATCCAACTATATCTAATAGTTGTAATGACATATTAGATTTGACATTGTGCATTTTGGCTAAGTGTACAATAAATGCTAATATATGTAATTGATTTATTTAATTACAGAAATATTTATTCTAAACTATTTAATCATATTATAAACAACTTATACGCCCTAATTTAAATTAGATTATTTATAATTAATGGGAGTTTGTACTTCTTCATCTTCTAAAAATAATTAGTAACAATAGAAATCCAAAACAGAAACCAAAATAAATCAATAATTTTCATTGATAGGTGAATAGAAGAATAGTACAAATCAATTCCAAGAGAACCAAAGAACTATTACACCTATAAGGAGGCTATCCCAAAATTAAAATATAACTCCAGTATAGATGAATTCAGCTAAAAATGGTACTATGGCTATTAGAAGAACATCTCATGCAACAACAATGACAACTAAGACTATGATTATTTAGTCTTCATAAATATAAGAGTAATAAAAAACGGGATCACTCTCAAATCTTACTTATTAAAGAAGCAACAATAAATAAGTGACCAAAACATTGTTAGTGTCAGCCTCTAAAAACTTTTCAATCGTTTCAAGCAAAAATTTAGGTATATAAATATATTACATAGCAGACAATTAAGGCAAAACGGTTATGCAACACAATGAAACAGGTTAATTAGTTTAAATTGAAGTACTTAAGTTTGATACTAAAAATCACGAATACTTAAATAAATTGGAAGAAATTAAGTTGGTAAGGTATTTAATAACTTAGGATAATATGCACATTGTAAAAATTATAGACACTCTTGTAGATCATAATAAAAGAATTTATTAAGTAATGTATGAATGCTGTGCTGGAGGATCTTTATCAAAACTTCTTGGTTGTAGTAAGTAGAGTGATAAAAAAATAGGGATAATATTTTATTAAATGATAGAAGCATTAGCTTATATACATTCTTAAGGATTAAGTCATGATGAATTAACTATTGATAGTTTTTCAATATTTGATGACTCATCTACTCCATTTATAAAGTTATCAGATATTAGAAGCATATATCAATTGATGTATCCTAAAGAGGCACATTTATATTCAGATCCACTTTCTTAAAAGCACTAAAATCATAAACCAAAAAATTAACATCATCATCAACATGTTAACTAGAATGAAATTAAGACAAGAAATAAATGTAATGATGTTTGGGCATTAGCTATAATAATTCTGTAATTAAGAAATAAAGAATTACCTTATAATATTTAAGAAATTGATTCATTTGATCCTTAAGATTATTTAAATAATCATCCTTCTGAGATGAATTCACTTTTATTAGAAATGTTACGTATTAATCGGAATGATAGAATTACATTAAAAAAATGTTTAGAACATCCATTTTTAATTAATATGAAATAAGTGTAGCCATAAGATTTATTATAACCCTTAAAAAATATGATAAAATGCAAGAATATGACTTATATCCATAAATGCATATTTTAATATCTTCTTCATAATTATGCAAATGATCATTTAAAAGTCTTGACAAAATTATTTATCACAGCTGATACAAATAAAGATGGAAGTTTGAGTTTATAAGAATTAAAAGAATTATTTTCAATTGAGGGAAAGGATCTAATTGAACAATTGGATTTATAAAAAGAATTAACTTTAGATGAATTTTTACTATTGGCATCTAATAAAGATATAATTTTAACTTAAGATATTTAAGAATCTAGTTTTAAATAATTATCCAGATAATCAAATCTAATCACTTTAAAATCAATGTGTAAATTCTTAAACAATTATGATGAATTATTGATTCAAAAAGATTTTAATACATTCCATCTTAATGATGGAGTAAGAATATTATTATATAAATTTTATAGATAAATCTAAAAGAATATAGAGAGTTCTTAATTAATTATGAAACTCCAATCCCCATAGTTTGATTAAAATGAATATATATATATAAAACATAATTAAAATTTAGTTTCTTTTTCATATAATAATTATTATATTAATAAAAGTATTTGTTATGACAGAATTTTTAAGAGCATCCTT